TACGTAGCTTGGTAGTATGTAGTCTTTTGCTCCCATTTGACCTTCTCCCACCCTACTCCCTAAAAATTTTAAATACTCTTTCTTGATTATCTCTTGAGCAATGAAATAATAAAAATTGCAGTTCTGCCCTATCCTCTTTTATTTTCTTATTATACTGTAGTATTATAGTGTTATTAGACTGTGATGACTTTGAGACTTGCTCTGATCGGGTGTCTAGACGTGCTTCGTGTCTGTCCAGTTTGAGAAGAAGTTCCACTTGGACCTATTCTGTTACAGATTCTGGCTTTAGCCCGGACTATTCAACAGACTGATCTAAGTCTTGTGTTCAGCGTGACTATACCCTTCATTTCCCGCTTGCAGAGAAGGTTAGGAAGTGTGTTTCTTTTCTGCAAAATCATTTTGAAGGTTGTGAAGCTGAAATAAAAATGCATGAGGCTCAAATGGATACCCGCAACTGCGCTTGCAATGCTCTAGTAGTGCTATTGTGGGGAAAAAGCCCCCAGCCAAGCCAACCTCTAGATCTTTAGGGAGGGATACAGTTCAGGATCTGTAGCCTCCATCTCATCTAGTCTGTACTTGCTTAGTTTGTCAGAAAAAAATTTGCTAACTACATCTAGTAGAACTGAGATGGCTCATCTGTATTCATTTTACCATCTCTCTATAGGACATATCAAAATGGTTGGAAACTGTTCAGCAGAAAGCTGCTGGGGATGTAGGATAGAGAAATGTGTGCCTGGTGACCCTCCCATAAAGAGATTTCCTTAAGTTGCTGGATTGGAACAATAAAACAAGGTCTCAACTTCCTATCTTCAAAATGTATTGTCGTTACTACATCCAGTGAGACTGAATGGACGTTTTGGGTTGCTGGTCCGTCCTTTAGAAGCCGGAGTTTCAAACAGGCACAACGTGGTCTCATCAAATGCACAAAAGCTTAGATTTGGTTCTCGTATGTCATAAACACTAGGTAAAATTTTGCGGCTTTATTCCTTTCCTAGGGCTTTCCATGGAAGTTCTCTGCTTTATTTATTCCATGCCTTTTAATTTCTCCCTGCATTCCATGTGATTTTTTTTTTTTGTGTGTAGATAGTTAACATTTTGTGTATTTAAAGCAAAAGCAAAAACAAAAAAAATCCTATCTAAAAATCCCATACCTGAGATCAAAGTTAAGTGCATGTCTACCTAATGTATTTTGAATTTCTTAGAATTTAGATGGATTCAGGTTATAAAAACATTGTACGAGGTAGTTTAGGCTAGCAGCTTGTAAGAGCATGGTACTGTCTATATATGTTGTCTGGAAGATTTTAGGTGCCAACAGAATACAGGCATTGATAAATAATAGTTTATAGGATGTGTGCATTTTTTTCTTTATCTCTTTGTTTTCATTTCTGGTACCTCTGGGTTTCACCTGAGACATGACTATGTCAAAGTTTACCAGAAGCCTTTATTGAAGCAACTGGTATTCTGGGGGTTGTTTCAGTCTTCCTCTTTCCCCTGTGCCCTCCTTCACAGTAAAACTCCTTTTGCTTCCTAGCAGCTGTTCAAGGGCATCTCCATATTTTTTTTTTCTACCTGATTTTTGGGAAAAGCTGTAGGAAACGCTGACCGTAGCAGTAAAGACTTTCTTTTTGGCACAGCCCGCTCAGCTTCTTCGCCTCTTTTGACCCTGCCCTTAAACTGGGAAACTTACAGTTACAGACATGAATGGTTTGGTTTATTGCACAGTGGCTGCCAAGAAGGCCAATGGGATCCTGGGGTGCATCAAGAAGAGTGTGGCCAGCAGGACAAGGGAGGTTCTCCTTCCCCTCTACACTGCCCTGGTGAGGCCTCATCTGGAGTACTGTGTCCAGTTCTGGGCTCCCCAGTTCAAGAAGGATGAAGAGCTACTGGAGAGAGTCCAGCTGAGGGCTACAAGGATGGTGAGGGGACTGGAGAATCTCCACTACGAGGAGAGGTTGAGGGAACTGGGCTTGTTCAGCCTGAAGAAGAGAAGGCTGCGAGGGGACCTTATAAATGCCTACAAATATCTGAAGGGTGGGTGTCAGGAGGATGGGGCCAAGCTCTTTTCAGTGGTGCCCAGTGACAGGACAAGGGGTAATGGGCACAAACTGAGGCACAGGAAGTTCTGTCTGAACATGAGGAGGAACTTCTTCTCTCTGAGGGTGACGGAGCACTGGAACAGGCTGCCCAGGGAGGTTGTGGAGTCTCCTTCTCTGGAGATCTTCAAGACCCGCCTGGACAAGGTCCTGTGCAGCCTGCTGTAGGTGACCCTGCTTGGGCAGGGGGGTTGGACTAGATGACCCACAGAGGTCCCTTCCAACCCCTACTATTCTGTGATTCTGTGATTCTGTGAACCACCCTTCCAGTGAGTGGGTGGAAAGGAGTCAGCGAGGCAAAGAAAGTGAGAACACAGGGAGAGAGCCACCTTGAGTATCACGCTTATGCAAGCTTGGAACTGTGTTCAGACATTAGGTAGGTGATGGTAAAGCTGCCTTTTGAACTATGACTTACGAAGATACGCTTTTATCTCATGACATAGAAAAAAGAAATGTATATGTATGCTTGTATTGAATGCCATTTAACACATGCATAGATAACTACAAAGATGCATGCACACACACACAAATATTAAACCATTAATGCTGCATTTGCTGTGAGCCATCTACAGTATTCTAATGCAGGAGAGGTTCTTTATTGTCTCCTCTCTGTCTGGCTGCATCTTCCATTCCCTTAAATGGGGTCACCAGTGGAACCATTCATAATGCTTAATAACACACTCTACCACTAACGCACTCTTCTGAATACCGAAATTGATTTTTCTTCTCTAAAAGTGCGACCTGCCAGTGTAGCCTTTGTCCTGCCGCCTAATAATACGTGATGTTCCTCACAGCACAGGATGCTAGTGCAGATGTTCATCAGAAACAAGCAGCCTCAGTGCAATGTCTAATGCTGTCGAAGGCATTTCATTTGCTGCAGATCAATGTCTGCTTTGAAGTAGAATAATTAAGGTGTTTTGTTCCTTTTGAAATGGGTCCTCAAAATTAGGTTTGTACCATCCAAAGCTTAATAAGAGGCTAGATGGATAGGCATGAGGGATGAGCATCTTGTTAAATTCATGAATACTTAACACTTTTGAAATTCAGAGTGTTAAGGTAAGAACCTAACTTTATGCAGCCACTTTAATGATGATGGTTAATATAGTTAAAGCTGTTAAAAATACCACAGTGGATCTGAGAAACTACCTGTCTGTTCCAGAGCACCTTTGCTGCAGCACTTATCCTGAGATAACTGTTAAGAAAACCGTTATTCTGTTCACTGCCATATTGTACCTTCAGCCTAGGAAATTACACTGTTTATTTTGCAGAGCTCCTATCTGAAATTGTCGTCCAGTCAAGATGAGAGAAACATTTCCATGGACTTTCAGTCCTTCAAGGCTGGATGGACAGATTGGTTGTTTGTTGTCAGGTGTTGTTACTTTTACTATAAGTAAATCAGAATTTACAGGGTTGGTGCAGAAATTTCCAGATAAGGGTCTGTGTGATGCAGGTGAGTCAATAATTCCTTGTGGTCTCGAACTCTGTGAATTTAATACTTCTGCAGTGTCGGACCGCATCTTGCTTGGTGTTTGCACAGCCAGGGCTGTTCCTGTTCCTGAGGCTGCAGACCACTCTCTTTTCCGCTTAGGCTTCCTATCCCAGTGGCAGTGACAGCAAGTATGGCAAAGTACAGTTAAGCATGCTAAATGTATAAGCCTGTTGTCTTTTAATGCAAGGTGACAGCTGCTGGCAAAGTGGGTTGAAATGGTATTCGTGGAGACTTCTGCTACAGGTCACTCTCTGAAAAAAACCCAGTCACTGCAGCTCCTTCTTACAGGATTTATTCACCTCTTTTTGGTTGAGAAGCACCATATTCTTTTACTGAACTAGTTTGTTGTTATGCTTGCTAACTGTCCACAGTGTTGCTTGCTTAGCAACAACAATTTCAGAAGACCAATAGTATACAGGCTTATGTTATTTATTGTAACTGTACATGATAATATTACAATTTTTATTTGTGCGAAAGGGCAATTTTATATAGCTAATTTAGTAATATACACCAGCACTAAGTCTTAACTAAGAGCTGAAGTACATTTGGAATCTGATGTTTTAACTTGCTGTCCTGACAAAAAAAACAAAGTTAGCTTGTGTCAAGAACACTCCCCGCCCCATATTTTTGTTTTTCTGTCTTCGGAGGCGATTTACAGCCGTAAGGAGGTAGTTTCTTTCTGGCTGTTGTCAGAAGCCGGAAGAATCACAGGCCGGCTGAGGCCGGACAGCGCCTCTGGGGACTGTCGAGTCCCACGTCCCTGCTCTCTGAGCAGGTTGCCCAGGACCATACCCGGTCGGGGTTTGAGCATCTCAGAGGATGGAGGTTCCAGAATATGTGTATTATCTTCTTTATAATTTCACTCTGATGTTTCAACTGAATAGCAATTTACTAACTCAGTAGGCATATTTAGGCTTGTTAACCTGCTGCTTTTCCTGTTGTATACAGTGCTAGATCTACCTGTGAATTTTCCAGGTTTCTGAAACTTTGAAGCACCGTTTCATAATAGCAGTCTTGTTTATTAGGGGATATGGCATAATCTGGGACTCAGGCTTATCTGTTTCTGCGCCAGTTGTGTGTCTTTATGAAAGCTGCATCTGTTTTCTTTGTCGGTCCTCCTCAGTGAATTTCTTTTCTGCTTAGTTTTCGGTGTTTCTGGTGCACGAAGGGGTGTGTTTTGGGGGTGAGGAGGGCAACAGTGAAATCCTGATCACTTCTTGGAGATTCTCTCGTGCAGCATGTGGGAAGTAAGAGGTTGCCTCAGAGGCTGGTTTAGTCTTGTTTAAGTCTAGAAATATTATGGAATGTGAACCTCTGATCTTTCATTCTTAGAAAAGATGCTTTTTGTGAGAGAGCAATTGTCTTTTCAGTAACTTCTCGGCACAAAGACAACTAAGGCTTTTGCTGTTGTCTGACAGGCATTGATGGTCCGGCTGCTTTTCAAGATGATGTTCAGAAGATAGGAAGTCAGGTGCAGATTCTCACGGTTGGACAGTCTAGCCATGATGAAGATGATGGAGAGAAAATGGCTAGTGGCCAACAACAGCAAAGCAAACAAGATCTTAGAACAGCAATGCAGAAGAAAGGTAAGTAGACAAAGCTGCCTTCATGTTCTCATTGCTTACTTTATGTATGCTGACTCCTTTTCCTATTCTCTCTCTCAGCCCTAGCCTAAGCAGAGATTGTTACTCTGTGTTTCTTCTCCTCAGAGCCTGTTAGGCTCTGTTCTGTTATTTCCAAAAAAATAATGAAGTGCTCTGTCATCCCAAGGAACAAGAGTCCTGCAGGCTCTCAGGGATGTGGCTTTCCCATCTGCAGTGCAGTGCTGCTATTAAGGTACCAGGCAGATGCTAATGCTCATATCCATCTGCTCACATTTTTGTATTCTACAACTCTGAAATCACTTACTTGTAGGTTAAAAAAAAGAGTGTGGAATAACAACATTCAAACTAGAATATTAATTTTAGTTGCGTTGTCAGCTAAACATTGTTCACATTCTCACAATGTGTGCTCATGCTTGCAGAGGCAAAAATTACATCACGGTGTGTTTTGCCGCATTTCCCATGCATAGTCCTCAAATGTTCCAGAATTTTTTTCTTTCTCTGGAGGCACGCATGATTTGGGAGATTGTGTGTGTACACATTCCTGCATCCGTCTCTTCCTTCCTGCGCTGTTGTTATCTCTCATTAGAGGTTAACTGTAGGAAGGAAAAAAAATCCTAAAATCCTCACAAAGCTTTTTCTGAAAGCATTTGCTTTGGAGTTGTTCTTCTTCAGTGTACAGCTTTTGAAGCAAAGATGGCTCAAGCCAAGAGTGCTCTGATGCTTTGAGAATAAACTCTTTGTGTATAAAGAGCAAAATGTAAGTGCAAACGTGACTCATCTAGAATAAACTATTCATACGTAAATGCCCGCCTCTTGTCTGCAGAGCAATTCTCAATAAGATTCTTTTTTTCGGGGATGTTACTCTGCAGATGTGAGCAACTTCGACTGAAATGGGCAGATTTTCTCAAAGTGTGGTGCTTCCTGGGTGTTTGAGTCAGAGGGATGCTGGCATGACTAACAACTTCTGATCTGTGTGGCGATTGTGTTGCCTTAGACGGTGGCTCAGAATATTTAATCATCAGGCACACTATTTACTGAAGCAGATTGACTTAAGAACTATCAACAGAATTCTCAAATTAGGTCAGAGCACTCAGATTTTTACTCTGGGGAACATTTCTATTTTTGATGTTCTTTCCAGACTAAGATATGTTTTTATTCTCCCCGATTTTTTGTTTAATTTTAATAGAAGCAATGGGTGGTGGTTTTTTGTTTGATTTGGTTTGGGTTTGCTTTGTTGCTTCGTATTCTTAAATATGTGATATGACCTTGTTTTTGTGCAGGTCTGAGTATACTCCTGATCAGAACAGACACTGCTAAGAGTGGACCACTAGTATGCTTCAAGTCTGGGGGATGGTGGGGCTTTTTGTTAATGGGAATGCTGAGGTTTACTTTTATTAACAACCGAGCTATGCTCTGTGAGATACAAAGAAAGGTAACAAGACAAGACTGAAACTAGTAGCATCTCCATAAACTATTTTTACTCTGTATCTACTTGATACCAGCAGAGGAGGCTTGTTAGAAAGTTCTGAGTATCCCAGTGTTAATGGGATGTAGACTTTATGTAGAGCTAGGGCTTTCCATGTGGATTCCCACTGCCCCTTCACTGCTTGTGGCATGGCCTTACTGGTGTGTCCCCGTTGGTCTGAAAAGCATTTAGAATTGCTGTCTCCCATCAGTCCTTCTCTTGCACGGAATAGGAGCAAAAGGAGAAGAACAGAGAGATCAGTGCTAACCGGCCTGGTGGGAAAGGCTGAGTCCCATCAGATTTGCGTAGCCCTGATTTGTGCCCATTCTGCTCTTCGACATTAACCTTGTGGAGAGAAGCCTCTCTCAGCATGTGTCTCTGCTTCCCCAACGAGCCAAGTTCTATTACAAGGCAAGAGGTTATAGGCTACCTGAGTGTGGAAAGAATATGCTGCCTGCAAGAAAATGCTGAATGTTTTATCTGATTTCTCCATCTGTTGGACACTGCCGTACCAGAATAATTTTATTCCTGCAGAAAATATTTGTCCTTTTGATTTCAGAAGCCTTAATATGTCGAGTTCCTGTCTGGCAAATGAGTCATTAGGACAGAGCCAGACTTCCATAGGTTTTAACACTGAATAACTAACATTTAGTCTCCACATTTGTCAGTTTCCTACATTTCTTTGTAAAGACTTGGAATGAGCAATTTGGCCTTAGTTCTTCTGTGCCACCTGAAGTTACAACTGTTTTGATATTTAGGAAAGGAATAGATTTGATTTCTGGGTTCAAAAACCAAACAGAAGCTCACTGAAGCATTCTTCCCCACAGGTCCTGAGTGCAGACTCTGCTAAGGTTGGGACAGAATTTTGATGACCAGAATATTGGTGGCGAAATAGTGAGCACAGATGGAGAAATAAACTGATTATGTGTGTGCATATGGAGTATGGCTTTACTGCACAGCCTGTCAGCTGAGGAGATGGGCTGTCTCTATTACCCATACATAGTTCACTAGAACATGGTTGTCATTATTAAGAAATAATGTTTATGATTAATGAGCATGTGATTAATAATGACCAAGTTCTACACGCTTTGAAAGTATCTGTTGACCTGTGAACTCAGGCCTCCTTTGCATAACCAGATCCTATTGAAACTTTTTGTTGTTGTGCTGTGTGGTGTATCTCCATATTGGGGGCATGGAAGAAGTGGATAACGAGACCATTCATGGTGCGGCTGAATGGAATACAAGCATTGCATATGCTTCTATTTTACTTTTATACACTTGCTCGTACTGCTCTGGTGTTGTTTTGTTATCCAGTGTGCATCTGGTGTCAAAAGCTATTTTAAAGGGATATCCATTGAAGTTATTGGAAGCGGCACTAACATAAAAAGTATTTAAATGCCTTTTTTTGGTGTCTTTTTTTTCTCATTCCAATTCAAAATTTCAACTGAAGAAAACTATTACTGACACTGTCTCTAATCTTTATATTTCTGTACATTAGTTTGGTTCAGTCTCTGCTTGGTGCAGACTAAGCTCATATTCCAAAAGACAGCTACTTGAAAGTCTCTGTCCATATCGCTGGAAGTCCCGGAAGAACAGTTTAGAGAGCCTGAGAAGCCTGATGAGGACACACTGGGCACAGGGATTTAGGTAGAATTTAGGCCATCTGCATAGGAGTCTGAATACTTTTTTCAATGTCACCGAATGAATTTTGGTGTAGAATCTGTGTGTATCACTTGTGTCCATCAGTTTTATTTTTGTGTCTGTTAGAATTCAAAAGTAGGCCAAAAACCTGTCGTGCAGGGCACGTGGTGCACAGAAGGGTTTGTGGCACAGCCGTTTAGCGTGGATGATCGTTTCTGAAGCTTCAGCTCTGTGATCCAGGGCTTTTTACTTTATTCAAAGTACTGAAAAAGAAGGTGACAGCAGGTATAAGTAGGAAGAAGGTGCATTTGATTGTGCAGAAAGATAAAATGTCCATAACTGAGAATTCTGGCAGCAACGTTATGGCCCCATCCAGTAAGCCTTTAGCCCCGTGCGGAGTCCTGTTCACGAGTTAGGCTTATTCACTCAATTAAGGGTTTGCAGAATCAAGCCCATGGATTTTTTCCTTTCCCAGATCCCCATGCAAATACATCCTGGTCCTCTTCCACCTCCCAATCCAGTCTTGTCGGCCTGGATCATGTTCCTGGTAAGTACAGAAGGAAAAAGTTAATTATGCCTATGCTGCTTGGCTCTGGAAGTCTTTGCGTTTCATTTATCCTTCTGCATTGGACTTACCAATAGTGGAAACTCTGGACCAAGTGTTTCTTTTTTTTTTTTTAATAAGGAAAAAATATTGCCTAGTTAGCCTCTAATATGTGGAACTTAGAGTTTGAACCTGAGTACAGGGTGGCTTCATCTGCATGATAGTCCTTGAAAATCTAGGCCTGGCAAATGTCCCAACATTGACGCTTTCTGCTGCTAGGTCCTATTTGATGTTCAGAGTTGTGTTACCCTTTGAAATGTCTGAGGTTTTGAGTTCTTATAAAGGCAAATTTTTAAGTGCTGTAAGGCAGTTCCTTTGGCTGGGGCTGATACTGTTTTTTTTTTTACATGAAATAAATATGCATGAGAACGTTTCCTTGATGTGAATGTTGCTTCTCAGTCTAAGATCTGCTCTTCGTCGGATCACATAGGAATGGTTAAAAGTGTGCTGTAGAAGGGCTCATATTTTACTGGTTAAGGTTTCCAAATGACTGTCATAGGTTGTCCATTCCGCTCCAATTTCAGGTCTAAGATTTTGAGTTGTGTTTGAAGTACTTCATTGGATTAAGAAGATCTGAATTTAATTCATAACTGGATATTGCTCCTGTATTACTTGGTAACTCGATCCTCTCTGTGGAATAGGAACCATGGTATTTCCTTTCTCATTTGCTGAAATGTTTTGGCTTCTCAGGGCAGGTCCTGTCTCACCCATGTGTTTGTACGCTGCCTCTCACAGTGAACCCCCCTCACACTCACACTTTCACCTGTGAGCCTGAGGGTGCAACAGTAAAATAAGTGATACTACAATTACGGACAGCTTTGATGTATTAGTATTTCATACAAGCGCACTGCTTTCTCCTCAGGCATTTCAAGCAGCATGAATTTTGATGAGGAAGAGGATGAGGAAGATGAAGACAGCTCCAGTTCTTCGCAGTTGAACAGTAACACCCGGCCCGGTTCTGCCACGAGCAAGAAATCCAATAAGGTAAGGGGTGAGTGGCGAAGGAGGAGCGGGCAGGCTGCTGCGTGCTGCGGGGTTTCCGAGGGCAGTCGGGATGGGCCTGGCTTTCTTGTTTTGTTTGTGATATGCACTGGAGTATCTCCAAGGTGATTTACTGTGATAGCTCTCGGGGTTCACAGGGGCAAGCAATGAAAATAATGACTTGGAGAAAAAAATAGCAAGTATTGTCTGAACTTGAGAGAAAAGTAAACAGTAAATATTTACTTCTCTGCCTCTTGCAGGTGCTTGGAAGGGTCTTTTGTTTCTGTTGCCTTTTTCTGAGCATTTTCCCACCCTGTTCTCACTGCTACCATCCAAACATAAAATGAGATTTTGGCTTGTTCAAATATTCTAAATCACAAGCTCTTACTAAACCAGTTGACAGTGCCCCGCTCTCTGATATACTGCACTGACTTCTCATCTCTGTTACATCTCTATCTAGCTTAATCTGTCTCCCCCCATCCCATTTTATCCTTTCATTAAAGGCCGTCAGTGTCCTTGGGTATGATTCTGAAAAGAGAGGTGAGAAGGCAAGGTGTGAGCCAGGATTTGCTTTGTAACATTGCAGCGCTCTGCTTGTGCGACTGCCCTGTTCTGCTTTGCCAGCTGTGTCTGTACGCTGAGCATCAGCGGCGCAGACAGCGGCTCCCTGGGCCGTTGGTAGCCAGGAGCTTGATTGACCGATTGGATGGGGAGAGACCTTAGCTTGATAAGCTGCCTTCAAGGCTACTGAGGGATCAGAATGGGGAAGACAATATGTCCCTTGTATTTATTTTTATAAAGTGCAGCTTCCATCAAACGTCATTCCTTTGTACTTACAACCTTATAAATCAAACTTGTTTTGCTTACTGTTTTAGGAAGCGGCCTCAGCTCCCAGTCCTTCCACAAACGAGCCTCTCATAGATGTTGATGACCTGGAGGAATTTGCCGTAAGACCTGCTCCACAGGGTGTCACCGTCAAATGCAGAATCACAAGAGACAAAAAGGGAATGGACCGAGGGATGTACCCCACTTATTACCTCCACTTGGAAAGGGAGCATGGTAAAAAGGTCATAAAATAACTTGAATGGCATACCAGTTGCATCCAAATAATAATTAAAAAAAAAAAAAGTCTGAAGAAGTCTTGCAAAGAAAATATAATCTTACTTTTTAAATATATTTTCACTTTCACTGAGATCTGTTCTACGGTCTTCCAAAAGCAAAACAGTAGTATCACTTTGTGGTACTGCCTTTCTTCATATGTCTGATCTTTGGCCTGGAATAATCCATGCTTGGCACCTTTATGTGGCAGTAAGCAGTTGGGGCTCACTGCATTCTGTATCTTGAAAGGCATCTATTTTCAATTCAACTAGAAGCGCCAGAGCAACTCATAATGAAACATTTAACAAAATAGATCTAATTTAATTATTTAAAGCATAAATAATGGACTGAGTGATTGAGAATTCACTTTCCCTTTCCAGATTATTATCTGGTTTTGCTAAGTCCAGGAGACCTCGTTACTTTGCTAATGATGCTGGAAGACAGAAAAATTGCCTATGGCTTCCTTATATCAAAGCAGGAGGTGGTGTGTGCTAACCCCTTTGGAATTCTAGAATATGTTTTTTTGCACTGCCTAGGTGTTTCTGTTAGCTGGAAGGAAACGAAAGAAGAGTAAAACCTCTAATTACCTCATCTCCATAGACCCAACTGACCTGTCTCGGGGTGGAGAGAGTTTTATTGGAAAACTGAGGTAAACACTGATACATCTAAGAATTTTCTTTATAGAATATGAAGTTCATTTGAAATTAAGAAGCCTGCAAGCCACTATGACTTCTTAATTAGAGGCTTGATTACATCATGTGGTAATGGTCTTAAAGTTCACCGGTATCCAAGGCATATTTTCAAAACATCTCAAGTACTTACAAGATCACGTTTTATTAAAAGTCAGCAGGACTGAAGCTCTTAAATGCTCAAAGGTCAGATTCTCAAGGGTGTACAAGCACAACTTACCTTAATGGGATTTTTGGAAGTACATGAGTAGATTGTGTCAAGCCCCCATTGATACAAATATTTTGGAACAAAGTTCTGTCTGTTAGACAATCTGAAAATCTCTTTGGTTTTGCCCGTTTCTCAAGATCCTAATTAGAGTTATTTACAAGTAGTGGAATTCTTTCAGAACCACTTGTTTCTTTTCTGTTTGTTACCCCATCATACATCAGTCTGGTGTTCATACCTATGTGGAGCCTCTCAAAGTATGTGTAGATCGCCTTTGCCTGAGGAGGGGGACTGTGCTGCTAATTGTCATTTGCCTGTGTGGATCTCGGAACCACATGCGCTTTTTATTGCAGTGCAAACACAGAATGAGGATAATGTGGTTTGAGTATGTTCCAAGTTGTATTTTGTGCTCCTTGGTGTGATCTCCATTCAAATAGGAAAGACTGATCTTATTTATAACTTTATGAAAATCACTCTCTGTATTCTAGTAGAGGTGGTAGTCAGGTAAGAAAGCAGACAGTTTTGTAGAGAGTAAGCATATTTTAAAAACCAATCAAGCAAACAAACAAAATAACCCCACCTGAGCGTCTCCCTGAGTGTTGCTTTCTTGAATTTACTAGTTTGCAACATGTCATGAGAAGTCTCCAGTGTAATGATAAGGGACCTTTAGTATAGTCTTCTGTACTGTACCTTAATATTTTTGTTATGGCCTTTAATCTAGGAGTTGCCATTTAGTTAGGATTAGAATTAGAAACTATTTGTGCTCAATATTATCTGTCTTTCCTTTGAGGCTACAATGCCGTAAAGGGTAGATGTAACAGGCAGCATTACTGACCAATGGTGATTGGATTTTCCTTTTTTTTTTCCGTAGATCAAATCTTATGGGAACTAAGTTTACAGTTTATGACAATGGAGTAAATCCAATGAAAACAACGTCAAGCCTGGAGGCGAGCACCCTGCGTCAGGAGCTAGCTGCTATTTGTTATGTAAGTACAGCTCACAGGCAAACTGCGCCAGAAAGGGCACTTTGGTTTCTGAAATAGCACACTGAATTTCCTTCTCACTTATGATTATGTAAATCAGTGGTCATACTTTGATGCAGTCAAACAGCTGACCTTCACTAGACAAACCAGGAGATTCAGTGGAAAGTAGAGGTGAAAAACGCTGTGCACGGAACCAGGTTGCCCAGTTCTCACTTTTGGTCAGAAGGTGTTGGAGCTTTTACATAACCCTCTGCAAGGGGTAGGATGATGCTTCGTAGCCTGCAGGCACCATCCAGGGGAGCGTCCTGAACTGGAAGGAGCTGGGCAAATGGAAGTATGATCATTTTTAATGGCATTTCGGAGAAGGCCTCTCTGATCCAAAGGTCTGCAGCAGTGGCTGGGAGACTGGGATAAAAACTGCAAAACTCCTTTCTACCAGGAAAACAACCAAACCAACCCCAAACAAAATCCGAAACTCAGTTCAATGAGAGGAACTGGCCTCTTATAGGACAGCAAATAGCATTTGTCAGGGGCAATGCGGACAATCAAGGCTTGAAGCACAGTTGCTGTTATTTCATTACTGGATGACTAACTGTTTTGGTGAGAGTATTCTTTCTGTCCAGAAATCTCTGGGCCCAGGAAACATTTCCAGTCAGAATTGCTACATACACTGCTACAGAAACACTGCTACTGTTTTCACAAATCAACAACTTCTGACAAAACTAACTAAGAACCATTTTTATGAAAAGTTCCTGCCCAGCTCTACTCCAGGGTGCCCGGAGCTCTGTCGGATCAAGGTGAGGCCATCTCAGCATACACCCTGCGCGCGCACCCATTGCGTTCCTGTGAAGGTCAGCGGCAGGGTGCGGGGAGCGGTGCGTCTGGAAGATTTCGGCACATGGAAAGGAAAGCCATGCAAAGTGTTGAGAGCACTAAGAGGTGGCAGTATTAGCTGCTGATGTCTTCTCTTCCTGCTGCTTAGGAGGCAGTTTTTCTGTGAATATAGTATAAATAGCGCGTTTGTTCACGTGTGCTGTTACTCAGGCACATGGCATATGGTTGCAGACAGGCAGATACACACACATTCCCTCCATTCCTGTTGGATTTCATAGAATCATAGTATCACAGGTTGGAAAAGACCTCTAAGATCATCAGGTCCAACCATCTGCCCAACAACACTATGCCTACTAAACCATATCCCAAAGTGCCACATCTACACATTTTTTAAACGCCTCCAGGAATGGTGACTCAACCACCTCCCTGGGCAGCCTATTCCAATGTCTGACCACTAAAACTCAATTTGAAACAATTTGAAACTCTCTGAGAATTTCAGAAAATCCAGATAACAGGATTTAACAAGAAAGTCCAGGATCTGATGTCAGTTTAGAGTTTGACTGAAGCTTCAGTAGGAACCTAGGAGAACTTACATGTTTACTAAAAGGTGATTTTAGTGGTTTGTATAGGAGGGCATTCTTTGGAGCTAGGCAACTAGTCTTCTGGTGCAAACTGGAAATACAAGGAGAAAACAAAAAATAGTTTTTTAAAAAGTTATATATTTAAAAATTTAGGAAATTGTTTGTAGACAACAATGGCATTTGAACCATTAACATTAGCAAGTAAAAAACTCAGTTGTGGTCAGCAGAGGTAATTAGAAGTGTGAGTGTTGGAAAGAACAGAACCGTGGCCACTGTTTGGAGAATGTGGCTACCACAAACTGCTTTTGTATGTCTGGTTTGAGACCAGCAGTTTAAAACTTGTACATCTGTAAAAGAAAATGACCCATTCAACTAATATTTTGATACTCGTGGAGAAAGGCAGCAAGTTTGCAGGTGTGCAAAGGACAAAAGGAAATTAGAATGATATTTCATTACTAGCCAGGTTTCCGAAAGTGAGATTGTTCCTGGCTGCAACAGAACCACAGCAAAGAATGCCAGAAGGAGCGCTCCTGAAACACCGTTGGCCTACGATAACCTTTTAATTCCTGCCTTGAGATTTTTCCTGCAGCAAAAACTATAATAAACAATACTTTGAGCTGTCCCTCAGCTCACCTGATCAGGTACCCACCTGAAGAGCAAGCTGTACCCGCTTCCACCAGCTTGCTGAGCCTGACCTGCTGA